AATTCGAAAATTGGCCACTATTATAACGATTATGATTATACTGCTACTGCTCTAAACAAACTCAATACATACAATTTATACTGCACAGTCAAACAACTCCCTTTTAGTAACTTTATATAGCAGATTTGATGAAAGTGCCATGATTCATTTAACCGTGGAACACACAAACATACGTTGTGTTTGGACTTTGGACTTATAGATCAATTGTCTTGTTGTTTCCTAGTTTAATGTACTAGCCATGTTCTCGAGTTAATGTACATTTCTCTGCACAAATTAGTAAATCGATTTGTGTAGTGAATTTCTCAATACTAAATACTAAAGAGTTAAAACAAATAAAAGAATCTGTATATATCGAAGACTTATTTACTTAGAAAAACGTTTTATTTAATTCCACCTATTAAAACACAGGTAGAATGTATTGTAATATTTATAATATTTCGTGTGTATACATAACATTTATGATGTATTTTAAAACAAATATTAGTGTTTGCAAATATTTGGAAGTAAAGAGTGAAAGAAAAGACTGTATGAATAAAGCTAGTCCAAATGTCGATCACATCTGCTTAAGTGGTGGTTACTAGTTATCTGATATCATTTGCTAGAAAATAGAAGAGATTCTCACCATAAAGTCATAGCAGAGCTGTATATATTTCATTAAATATTAGTAAATATAGTGGCTGTGATATAATAAAATGCATTTTAGATAGAAAATGGTATAAACAAAGAAAGGGGTCCTAGTTCTCATTCATTAAATACACAAGATCTTATAAATAAAGAAAATAAAAGTCTTATAAGTATTTGAGAGGTAGGTAGCCGAATTTTTGAGCCAAGCTTGTATGTCGTTCAAAGTGACCAATGAAGAAGTACTACAAAGGATGAACACAACCGCGGATTTGGTCAACACCGTAAAACCGTAAAGGGCCGTAGGCTGCAGTACTTGGGAGATATAATGAGAAATCAAGGTAGATATGAGCTGCTCCAATGCATTTTGCAAGGTAAAATTGAAGGAAAAAGGCTCCCAGAACGAAGTAGAATATCCTGACTTGCTAACCTGAGATCATGGTATAGAAAGACCTCAACACAACTATTCCGTATAGCAACCAACAAAGTCATTATAGCCAGAATGATCGCGAACGTTTGGAACGGATAGCACCCTATAAAGAAGATCCTCCCCTGGAGTTTCCTGACATTGGCGTGCCTGCCGAAGTACTGAATCTTGGTCTAGTCGACCTTGCGTTTCAACGTCGTCTTTTAATGATCCTCATGTCCTCCGTGACGCGGATTCTCGCAAATGCTTACTTAATCTAGCTTCAGGGCTATCTTCTTTGCGACTTCGTCGCTTAGATTCCGCTTTCTGAGATCATTGTTTCTCACTTCGTTGAGCTCTAACTTTCCTTGTTCGAGCATATTTGGCTTCCATTCGTTCTTTATATAATTTTAAGTTTTAAGTTATTTTGGTTTAATAAATCTTACAATCTTGGGCAATTTTGCGAAAATATTAGTGACTGATGAAGTATTTATATTTCTGAGAAAAGATATTTGCTTGTCGAGACCTTTCGACAGTCTTTCTGTCTTCTTCAGAGGTCACAAGGTCTTATTTTCCCGAGCCCCCAGTCACTACCACACTGATAACTAATAAATGCACTACTAATAAATACTCCCCTTTCATATATAACATTGCTTTATTTTTAGTTAGTTGCACTTAGTTGCAGTGTTGTCACATCGCGAGTGGGAATAGTCACCAGATACTTTAAAATGTTCACAAAAGAAGAGTTACAAGCAAGGGCATTGTCACTAAATTTAACTAGGATGCACGAATAAAATTTATTTCATACGTCATTGAAAAAAAATTAATATTTGGTTTTAATTATGGGGTATTTAGTTGATGCTGGTGAGAAATTTATCGCAACATCAAAACAAGCAAGGATATCTACAAAACCAATTATTATTTATAGAATGCTTTAGTACTTGGCTAAATTTTAAAAATCCTGTAGGAAAACTAATGTATCATAAAATCACAATTTATAATTTGGGTTATTTACAACATTATTTACGGGCCTTTGGATGAGATGTATTTCTTTTTTTTTTAGAGGAAAACAAAGGTTGTAGTTATTCCAAAGCTAAGAAATATTGACTATATCCTTGCCAAATCATTCCGGCCAATCAATAAATCTGAAACAGTACCGTATGAGTATCTTCAGTTATATTGAGAGTCTTTGAAGAACGAAGAAAACATAAAGACCTGAATAAATACAAAGAAATTCAGAAAAACATCAGACCACAATCTCCAGACACTGACTGCAATCGACCTTTGTGAAAATGCTCAAAAAGTCAAGTGCACTATCCTGCTCAGATCACACAACAATAGCTTTAATGTGTCACACAACATTTTTGAAAATAATACACAACCGAATTGTTAAAACTCTTGAATATGAAATTAGGGACGCACAAAAAAATATAAGCTTTTTTCTATAGAGTAGTAAAAGATACGATAATCCCGTATTAACGTTTAGCAAAAACGGTTCCGTATTCTAGGGTTAAAATAAATAAATAAAAAAAATGATCAACTTCCTTTAAACTTTGCGTTGAGTTGCGGGACATCCTGAGTACTTTTACGTGGTAAGCAAATAAATCAATCCCCTTTCATTTATCTAAGATTTAAATGATGCAGTGATCCCACGTCTATCCAGCACCCTTTTCATAATTTCCTCCAAATTAACAAATAACACGAGGTTGATAGCTACGGAATTAATTAGGTTTATTGATAAACACGTTCGTGGAACCATTCCCATTGGACGATAAGTCATATCTGATCGAAGTTCGTGGATGCTTTATTCATTATAGAAACTAAACAAAGATGTCTCAGAAACGGTTAGGATTAAGGCAAGCTGATAAATAATTTAAATTCTTAATAGATCGTATGTTAGTTTAAATACGCTTTATTTTGTTTTATTTAATCATTTTATTTCCATTCTATTTCATATACAGGTGTTTCTTTAGAAACGTAACATACGTTAACAGAAAAAAGAGAGACACTTATGCGATCTCAAAAATCCCATACTTCATGAGTATTACCTCATCAATAACAAAGATCATGGATGTTTTATTTATTTTACCAACTTCTTATCTGGTTCATAACTTTTTACCCGCACTCTATAGTTTCATTATAAAGTCCGACAAACTTAAGTTTGGGAATGTGACGTAGTGTTTCGCGCTGAAAGGCGGACCGTTTCTACCAGTGGCGGATGGAAACCGGGAGCTTTAAAATAAATTTTTATAAGTATAATCAATTAAAGTGAGAATTAATTTGTTAATTTTTATTTTTATAGTTTTTAATATTTATGAAATTTATAGTCAGGCATTCGATACAATAATGAGAAAACTATTAGGAGTACTTTAATAAATAACAAATTCCTCAATACTTACAATTTATTAACATTGCCAGGAAGGAAGGAAGGGATTCAACAACACAAAAAAATAAGGAATTTATTTTAACCAATTAAATAATGTCCTTAAATTTTCTAAAGCGTAAGATTGTAAAGACTTCTATGTTTTGTTATATGACAAAGGAATATCACACAAAAAAAACACGTCTCTTTCGGGGACGAATTTGAATCACTATCTTCAGTATTAGAAAGGCTTTCTTCGGATGAACCAGTATTAATAAAAATTATAAGTGTTTACATATGTTATACCACTCTTCTATTAACACTTCTGAAAATTTTGTTCTTTATCTATAATAAATATCTATAATAAATATAAGTATATAGTATAAAAAAGTCTAGAATCATAATATATTTGAGCTAAGTTGAAAAACAGATATACTAGACAGAAATGAATAAAGAAAGGAAAAATAACATTACCGTTTTTAATTTTTTTAAACAGATGACACTTGCAAGTAATGTGCAATTATACGTTTTAGTACAAACCACGGTGAATTAGGTAGTATTCCTTGACCACAATCTCTGGGGGTAATTTCGATGTTGGATTCTAACTTTGAATCCCATAGGTGCATTCTGTATGTTCAAATAGGTTTAATAGAGTTTAAGGCAACTGTTTAAGCACAGTTTGATAAAATAAACATGTTACAAATGTTTAGGATTAAACTTGAGAGGTCACTGGTTAAATTATATTGGATAAATAATTATAAAGAAAAAATGCAATATTTATGAAAAAAAAAAAATTTATGAAATGCAATAAATTATAAAATTAACTGGTTTTACTCATTATCAATGTTTTGTACAAAGAATATGGACTTACCCTCTGATGATATTGATGTCGTCTTAACAGGAATAAAGAGTTGGTCGTGGTACCGACGCTAGCGTCGCCGAGGCTACAGCATGAGACCGGTCAATGATGCATTTCTTTCACTGTCTTACGAAGAAGTGCCTGTCTTGAGAATCTTGAGATCGCTACCAGGGCAAAACCGCCCTCTGATCGTTGGGTGGTCAACAGCTCGTATGCAAGTGCCATAAATCAACCACTTGTTTCAATCTTTGTGACAGAATGCAAAAGAGAGCCAAATTTTCCGTACTTACAATATCATAAATGAGATAGCCAGTTTAAGTTTTACGAAAGAACAGGAAATAATATATTTTAAAAAGGTCTTTAGAATACAGCACTAAATTAGGTACATTACAGTACCGTAACAGAAAAAATATTAACTGTAAAAATATGAAAATAATTATTCGTACATACTTTCCCAAACATAAGTGCTTGTCAGATGTTTACTGAAGGTTTATTCACTGAATTAAAATTTCCAACTGGTAAAGGTGGTCGTTTGATTATTACTCCTATTAGAGGAGATAAAAGATTATTAGAATAGTAGTTTAAAATTTCTCTTTTGAGGAAATCTATATTACAGCGAATATGTATTGTTTAGGATATTCCAAGGCTTAACAACAGTGTTTTTATGTCTTATTTGATTACTGAACAAAACATATGATCAAAATAATATTAATCAATTTTTAAATTTAAATTGTATTTATATTCGGACTTACTTTCCATCATTTACAGTTGCTCCAAAATTCATGAGATTATCTTCTTCGGGTAATTCGTCATTATCTTCGTAATAAAGACTTAAATCATCACCCAGAGTAACATAGAGCTGTTCATCGCCGTATTCAGTAAACAATGTAAAGAGTGGATACGCTGGACCTAAAATAAAAATAATTATTTTTAATATTTATTACCAGATTTCAAATTTTTTAAAAACGTATTATTCACGTAATATAAAATGTAAAATATTTAAGAATATTTTTATTATGTGACTCATTACACAGTTTACACAATTACACATTACAGTTTACACATTACACAATAACAGAGTTAAAGGATGGCAAAGCGGCAGGCCCTGATAATATACAAGCAGAACTACTCAAACTAATTGATAACGAATCAATAGCAATAATCGCAAAGATATTCAACAACATATACAACTCTGGAGAAATACAGAACAGAATGGCTGAAATCTGAGTTTATTGCACTTCCAAAAACCAGGAGCCAAAAAATGCGAAGATTACCATGCTATAAGCCTCATGAGATATCTCCTAAAATTGTTCCTAAAGATAATTCATAAGAGAATCTAGAAGCTGTGTAAAAGTCAAATTTCCCCGAACCAGTTCGAGTTCACAAATGCTGTTAGTACTAGAGAGGCTTTGTTCTCAGTATACAATTTATTCAGAGATGCAAAGACGTCAACTGCGACATATACGCATGTCTGGTTGATTACCAGAAAGCATTTGATCGAGTACAGCACGCCAAGATGATGCAAATACTAAAAGAAGCAGGAATTAACAACTAAGATCTGAAAATAATTAGAAATCTTTACTGGAATTAGACAGCAAATCTCAGAGTTGAAGGTGAACACACTATGTGAAAATCATGCGTGGAGTGAGGCAAGGCTATATTTTGTCTCCTCTAATCTTCAATCTGTACGTTGAAAGAATATTTATTGAAGCTTTGCACAAAACTAAAAAATGTATTCTACTAAATAGTTATCAGCTAAATAACATCAGATATGCAGATGACACCATAGTAGAGGAAGTGGACCAAATATGGAATATTCTCTTAATATGGAATACCGTATTTTCTAGAAAAGTTAATCGGCAACGTTGCATTTATCCAACCCAAAAAAGGTACCTTTGGCTGTAGTAACGTGACAGGATTCAGTTCTGATCTAGTGTTCGTATTGTGAGTACAGTTGCCTTCAGAGTTATTTTAGATTCCGCGAGTTTTCTGTAGGTAAGTACTTTGAACAAAAATAGTATAAGTTCTGCATGAAATATAATTTTCGTAACACCCATCTATTATGTAATAGGCATGTTTACTTAAACAAAAACGTTATATCTTTTTCGCATGTAATGATATTGCAGTTGGAAATTCAAACATTGTAGTGTGCCTAATATGGAATACTTGAGGGTATTAAATATGGAATATTCCATATTCGGAACATTTTTTTGTCATAATATGATATAACAAATATATCTATCTATTATGTTACTTATCGAGTTTCGTAATTAGTTTGGTTTGAAGATTACATTTCTATTTGTTGCAGGAAAATGCCACAGAAGAAGAAAAGTGATAAACCCTGTAGAAAGTCGTGGAACAAAGATGACATGAAACGTGCTATTCAGGCCGTTAGGATCAAAGAAATGGGATATAAAATAGCAGCAGACACCTTTGGAATACCCCGTACCACTTTATTTCGATTGGCATCTAAACCTAATGATGCTGTAGACAAGAAATTAGGTAGACCCCCTGTTTTAGCAGAAAATTTAGAAACAAAATTGATGGAATATTTACTTTTAATGGAAAATAAGTTCTTTGGATTAACTAGACGGGATGTTAAACATATAGCTTTCCAGTTTGCTGCTAATACCTTACCAAATCCATTTTCGAAATAAACTGAAAGTGCTGGCAGAAAGTGGCTAGATTTATTTCTAAAAAGACATAAAAGTACGATTTCTATAAGAATGCCAACCGGAACCTCAATTCATCGGGCTAAAGGTTTCAATAAGGAAAATGTTAGCCACTTCTTCGATCTTCTGGAGTTAGCATTCGAGAAGCATCAATATCCTGCAGATAGAGTTTTTAACGTTGACGAGACTGGGTTGTCTATCGTCCAATCGAAGATACAGTCTGTTCTGGCTTTGAGGGGTGCTAAGCAAGTTGGCTCTATAACGTCTGCCGAGAGGGGATCTCTAGTCACAGCTATTTTATGCATGAGTGCAGGGGGAACTTTTGTTCCACCATTACTTATTTATCCTAGAAAGAATATGAATATTTTGCTACAAAAAGCAGCCCCTCCTGGATCAAAAATTGTGTGCCATCCGAGTGGCTGGATTCAAACGGAAATATTTACAGAATGGTTCCGGCACTTCACAGAAAAAACAAGACCATCACAAAGTGATCCAATATTGCTAGATTTAGATGGGCACCATTCGCATTGTCGTAACTTACAAGTTATTGATTTAGCAAGATAAAATTTTGTGGAGATATTGTGCCTGCCCCCACACTCTACCCATTTTATGCAGCCGTTGGATAAAACTTTCATGGGGCCTTTAAAATCTCACTATAGTGAGGAATTAAGAGTATTTCTTCGAATCAATCAGATGGCTGTCACCCCTTTCGACATTTCTGAATTATTTGGTAGGGCTTATTTGAAAGTCCAAACTGGGGCAATAGCCATTAATGGCTTCTGGAAAACCGGCATATATCCCACAAATCGCAATGTTTTCGAACATCACGATTTCCTTGCTGCTGAAGAGGCATCGCAATCTGACACTCCATTAAACGAAATTTATGATGAAAATGGGACTACTGACTAATCAAAAAGGAATACGTTTATTGAGCCTCATCAAATATCATCTTTGCCGACATTAAGTAAGAAAAAAGGACCTCAAAGAGGAAGAGCACCAGGAAAAGATGCAGATATAACCTCATCCCCATACAAAGAAAACCTAAATAATTCAATAAATTCTTCTTTATCGAACAAATCAAAGAATATGGCAAAGCAAAATGTGATATTCGATTTATCTCATTCACAAATATCTTGTAGCGGTGTCAATATTCCCAAATCAACGATGAAACGATCACATCGTAAAGAGTCCTCTTCATCGGAGTCTGACGTCGAGAGTTTAGATGACAAATCATCTGACGATAACATCACAGAAATAGGGATAACAGATTTAGGAGATCCAGATGCAGTGTGCTTTTATTGCGATGGAAGTTTTTGAAACGATGTTCGAGGCGAAAATTGGATACGCTGTCTGTCATGTCAGCAGTGGTGCCATGTTGATTGAGCAGGGACAGAAACGGAAACATTCATATGTGATTTCTGCAGAGAAAATTAAAAAACTGCAAGGTACCTTTCTCTTAAAGATTTAAAATTATTTATAAGAATATGAAAAAAGTTTGAGTTGTCAATAAATATTTTTCCTATAATTTTGTTTTATTCCATATTTAGAACATACAGTGTTCCATATTAGGTGCATATTCCGTATTAGGTACAAAAACGTGTCAATGCAGCAAAAGTTTTTTTGTGAAAAACTTATCGAATTGATTGAATCCTCAGATAATAATTCCGATTTAGCTCAAAGAATTAGATTCATTTGATCGAAAACCACTTATTGACAGCAAAAAATAAAAATGGTATTCCATATTTGGCTCCTTTCCTCTATTTGCGGATAACTTAGAAGACCTACAAGTTCTTATGAACAAATTTACGTATTATAGTCAACAATATGAACTCAATATAAACGTTAAGAAGACAGCTTATGATAATTAGCAAGAAAATGATAACAGAAGGTCAACTATACGTTAACCAATCCCGTGTAGAAAGAGTGATGTACTACAACTACTTCGGCACCATAATAAATAAAGAATGGACCAACAACCAGGAGATTAGAGTACGCATCGGAAAAGCTAGACCTATGGGGACCTTCTTCAAGAGTCACAACCTCTCTCTTGATAAAACAGTAAGAATGCTACGTCTTCTCTGTCCATTTTATGGTGTTGAATCGTGGACCTTGAACAAAGATATATACAGAAAACTGGAAGCATTTCAGATGTGGCTATATTGGAGAATACTATAGATCCCGTGGACTGACCGAGTCACAAATGAAGAGGCCCTCAGAAGAATAAATAAGAACCGAGAGGTACTGACCAACATCAAATCTGAAAGTTACAATTCTTCGGACATATCATGCGAAATGAATCCAGATATGCTCTTCTTCAAGCCATTCTGTAAGGAAAAATATTTGGAAAACGAGGTCTAGGAAGAAGAAGAAGAACATCTTCGTTAAAGAACCTCAGAATCTGGTTCAATACAACATCTGTGCAGCTTTTCAGTGCTGCTACAGATATGATAAATATTGTCACGATGATCGCCAACATTCGTAAAGGATAGGCACATCAAGAACAAGAAGAAGTGACTCATTAAGTTTGTCGCATTTGCGGGAACTAGCTTTCTTTGGTGTATCTAGAATTCTGAGTCATGCCATTCCTTTGGTGTTACGCCACTTTCATATATGTTGTTAAAAATATGTGTTAGTCGTTTTATTTTGTTATCATCGATTAGCCTCATAACATCTATTTTTAGTTCGTCTGGTGAATAAGCTTTCCAGTTCTTTGCACATTATACATAATGTTTTGTCTCTATGTCTATGATTGGGGGTCCTAATTTTCCACGTCGATGTGTGTTGCAATTCAGATTTGTCGTACGCAAATGATTTTTCGATAAATTTCTCCCATACTTGAATTTGTTAGCTTCTCTTTATACTATTCTTTCTTTTTTGTCAGCTGGAGTGGATATATTATGTTTCTTGTTACTATCGGAGGTTTCTTTTAGTTTTTTGTATAAGTTGAATGTGTTATGTTGTTGTCTAGGTTTTCTATTTTATCACCCATTTCATTTCTCCACTTTTCATTTGCTTCTTTGATTTTTAAATCTATGGTTTGTTGGATTTCTGTATATATATCTATGTATATATATATATATATATATATATATATATATATATATATATATATAGCTACCAAATAAATATAGCTGCGACATAAATAAAATACCATAATTAATTTATTTATTTATTTTAATAAAAATAATGTGCATTTATTTTATTTCTTTATAACTGTAATAATATCTAAATATAATA